TTTTATCCCTACATTTCCCAAAATATTTAACGTATTTCAGAATGGGGGGGTTGGAGCCAAAAATTGTACAGTGAAGTCCTAAAGGTGTCCATCTTATCAGTTTCCATCAATGTTCACAAAGGACAAATTCCTTATGCAAGCCTCCATTTCAGTATCTTAACACTGTGGAACATCCCACACCAATAAGGGAATGGTGACCTTAAACGTCACTGATATCTATGGATTGGGAAGACTACAGCAGATTTCCTAGTAAGTATCATATGAACATATTCAGAATCAATTTTACTTGATTTCTTTACTCTGGGACCAGGGGACACACAGTTCCTCAGTGGAGGATCCACTTTACTCCAATTCACTAGCTGCATCCACATGGTGAACACATCTTCTGTGTTTGAATCCTAATCTGAAAAACATTCTTGAAGATAATGAAGCTATTAACTTAAATCAAGAGTTAATTCACCACTGGACAGATGTGAAACCTATTAGCTGCCCCTTCTTTGTGGGAGAAGTGATGGTGAGCAGCATGGTTTTTTTATTTCAGATATGTGCAGCAAGATGGAACAACATAGTGTGTGATGCCTTGGGCTCCAAACAAACAAGGAATAAGAGCTCAGATAATGTATCTCTGAGCTCATATAATGTAAAGGCAATGGTGGCACAATAGGTTAAACCCTTGCGGTGCTGAATTGCTGACCTGAGGGATGGCAGTTAGAATCCATGGGACGGGGTGAGCCCCCGCTGGTAGCCATAGCTCTTGTCAACCTAGCTGTTCAAAAACATGTAAATATGAGAAGGGCATATCCCCCAGATCCAGAGATGAGCACCACCTCCAGAGCTGGAAATGAAGGGCAAAGCCTTTGTCTTTGTCTGTGTATTTGTGTCTCATTGTTTTTCATTGTAACAAGCCGTTGAATGTTTGCCTGTGTCTGTTTATATGATGTAATCCGCTCTGAGTCCCCTCATGGAGAAGGGCAGAATATCATCATCATCATCATCATCATCATCATCATCTTTTTGGGATACCAGCTTCCAGAATTCCCTAGCTAACATGGCTACTGCTATGCTGGTCAGAAGAATTCTGGAAGCTGTAGTCCAAAAAAGGTTATATTTTCAAAGGAAAGGACATCGTACCCTGGCATCTCACAACTATTGTACATTGGATTTTCTGCCAAGATCTGTAGGATTATGCCTTTGTACTTTAAGATGATGTCACCTAGATTCTTCCTTTAGAAGTCTTAGAGGTAGGATGGCTACCTCTTGGAAATGCTTCAGCTGTGCATGATGTATGGATGGATTTTGGACTAGATTCCTTCCATCTCTGAAATTCTCTGAATTCTCAGATAAATTTCTTCAATGAGCAGTGCTGTTCTCCATGATTCAGTTCTATAGCTGAGCACACCTCGCCTCCACATGAAAAACCTTCAGTTCTAAGTTAGCTTTCTTCATTGCACTTTGCAGTCTTTCTGTTTTCTTCTCTCTTTCAACATTCACCATGGTCTCCAGAGATGAATGGATCCAAGATGAATATCCTTTTACCTAAGAGGTGCCCAACCTATCACCGACAGCCTAGTTTCAATGCCTTCTGTCAGCAGTCAGGTCAGACTGGGGGCCAGAATAATTTGCCTCTTTTTTGACAGCTTGCTAGGTGTGATAAAACAGAGAGAAAGGGGGGTTGCAAAAGGAGAATAAAATAAGTTATCTACTTTTAGTGCTGGCCCTGCCTCCTAATGCCTTTTCTTACACATCAGCACTAGGCAACCTTCCTCCTACTGGCATATTAAATGTAATTTAAAGGCACATACCTTGACATCACCACCATAATACTTGAATCAGTAGTGTCATTGGCTCATAATCAAGGAAACAGGATAGAGGCATTTCCCTTTTCCTTGATATTCTAAGCACTTACATTGTCCTTTAGTGTGCTTGAGATCTGAAGATATTAAGAATACTATTCCTCATCCCATTGTATCTATTCAGTTAATTTGTCTGTCCATTTACCTGCTCTTCTACAGTACTACTAGGAAATATCAATTATCTCCAAACTTCTTTTATTAAACATGAAAATGGGAGTATGACAGTTATTTCACGTTCAGTAGAATCAAACTACTTCTCTATAACAGGATTGTCACTGCTTTTGTGCTCTCCTTTGCCTGATCAAAGTTTCTCAGGTGCAGCCAGCTTTCTCTAGAATAGCACCCTCCTGAAATGCTGGACTGCAACTCATATTGTCCCCACCCAGCATGGTTATTGAGCTACAGTGGAAAGTACTGAAACAGTAAAAGCTTCTGTAGTGCTTTCCAATGTAGTCTCTCAAAGAATATTGGCTAATGATTAAGAAACTGTTATGGGTAGATAGGAACAGAACAAGAGGAGACCAGCCAGGAAGCACCTCTCAAGAAAAGAATAGAGTCAGAAATAGAGCTAAGACACACTGTTTCTCCTCAATATGCTTTCCTTTTGAAGCTGTGCTCCTCCTTTTCACTCAGCTACCATGGCTAGAGAGATTAAATGCCATTATGAGTCACACATTTCCTACAAAAGATAGACAGCTGATTACTATCTGTAGCAGCAGTAGACAAGCCAAGTTCAGAGGAGCTGAACTGAAATCACAAAGAAGAGCTGGGGAAGTGGCTTTGAGGGACATCAGTTCCCATGCACTGAAGTTAAGAGTTATACTGTACTTCATCATTTCTGAAGGGTATTAAGCTGGAGAAAGTGTTCAGCATAGACTCTGTTGACTGGGGGATTCTGAGAGTTGTAATCTAATCCACTCCCTTTGAAAACAAGATGTAAAGTTACCCTTTACCCCTTCTTTCCTGCCTAAAGAAAGCCTTGTCAAGTATTGTAGAATCTCTGTTGACCTTCTGTCTCATTTGCTGCACTCAGATATTGGCCTCCTGTTAGATAAGGTTGCCAAATTGGATTGGAGGTAGGGTTCCTGCAATGTTTATCATTAAGAACAAAATAGTGTCAAACTCTATCAAAGGACAAAGATATCTGCTACTGCAAACCTTCAAAACACCAGCTTTCTGCCACAGCCGTCCCATCCCTCCATAGGTATGGCCTTTACAATATAAAGCTGGATTGAATATAAAAGAGCACCCAGACTGTCCTTCTCAAGGGATACTATGTTTGGAGGTAACCACTATGGCCTACTGATAGGGTTTGCAAAGCCAGGGAGAAAAAGTACCTTAGTTCTGAATTGGTCTAATGAGATTTTTGGCCTAGCATGCATTTTGGAACTTTAGCTACACTATGTTCCTTGGGTTTGTTTATTTGTTTGTTGTTTGTTTTTTTGGGTTTTTGTTTTTGTTTTTTTTGTATTTTGACACATGTGCTCACCGTTTAGATCGGGATCCGTAAACTAAGGCCCAAGGGCCAGATATGGCCCTCCAAGATCATTTACCCAGCCCTCGCTCAGGGTCAGCCTAAGTCTGAAATGACTTGAAAGCACACAACAACAGCAATCCTATCTCATCAGCCAAAAGCAGGCCCATACTTCCCATTGAAAACTGTTCTTAATTTTAATTATTATATTGTTTTAAAGTGGTTTTGCACTACAAAATAAGATGTGTGCAGTGTGCATAGGAATTCATTCATGTTTGTTTCAAATTATAATCCGGCCCTCCAACCGTTTGAGGGACTGTTACCTGGCCCCCTGTTTAAAACGTTTGAGGACCCCTGGTTTAGATCATTCAAACATGTTTTTATTTCTATATTCAAAGATGATTGCGACATCATGTATATAGGCAAGGGATACCTTGTAGCTTCTATTTTTGTTGATTCTAGTATAGGATGTAAATCCTATTTCATTTTTTCATGTAGGAACAAATAATCTCAGCACTGAAAAGCCACTGAAAAGGTTTGTGGTACCATGGGTTAGCTGTTCTGTTGATATTGCAATCCAGCATGTTACATGATAAATCAGTAAACATGCCCAAATCCACACTTATTGCTTTCCATATATTAAAAACATCTGAACTTGTTTTAATACTAAGAATATAATTTGATTTAAGATACAAAAATAAAGAATGTGTATTGAAGCATTTTTATCTGATATAAAATTCTGGTATCTGCATCTCATAGCTTGAGTATACTTACCAGAGATCAGGGAAAACATTTTAAGTATCGTAGTCAAATGAGTGAAAGGAGGAATACAAGACATCTCATTTCTAAAGTGCAATGTTACCTTGTTATATGCCAATGTACCACATGTTTTGAATTTTCCTAATCCAGTTCCATGCTATAATTCCATTATTTCTGCTACCAGTCAATTCATGTGGGCAGTTTGCCACTATCCACACTGGGACATTTCAACTCTGGGTTCTTCTGCTATATGCCGTACCATCTTCCTGGAGGAGGGTTTTTTTTTTAAAGCCAAAATGTTATTGGTGCTTCATGCCAGCATAACAGTCCAGTACACTGATGTAAAACACCTTTTGGAGTCATGAATAGCAGTGATGAAAGGACGACAATAAAGTTTCTCTCTATAGCCAATGAAAGCTGTCCTGCAAGCTGACAAGGAAGGCTGACCCTTTCTTTCTGATAGATATGTTTTCCTCTTTGTCTCTCTTCCTCTGATCATCATACCTCTTACATAGGAATGGGAAAATTATGGTTTACAGGCAGCATATGACCCTGTATTTCACTGTTGTGACCACTGAAGCTCCTAGGATTGCACTGTAATTTAACACAAGTTTGGGGCAATTTTTCTCCCCCTAATCAAACAGAAAGCCCCTGCCCCAAATGTATGCAATTTACAAAAATATCCCTTCCTCGTTCTCATAATAACTTCATTGCCTTATACTTACCGCCAAATGTCTGTTTTTTCTGCAATCCCTCTCAAAGTGATGACAGGAAGTGACCTATAAGCATTTTATCCCTGCTGTTGTCCTGCTGCTACAACACATACCAGCATGATGTAGGAGGAACACAGCCCATATGTTGCTGTGCCACTTTAACAACATTTTAAAAGACTGTTTTCTGCTTTCATTTCCAAGGATGTGGCCACCATGCAGTTCTGTGCCAACAAGCTGGACAAGAAAGATTTCTTTGGAAAATCTGACCCTTTCATGGTCTTTTACAGAAGCAATGAGGATGGGACGTAAGTACCACAACGTTTCGTTTTGCAGCAGGAGGTCTGCTCAAATGATAACACTGACATCTACTTAAACTCTCTCTGAAGCATTTTTATAAAGAGCCATGAAATATTCTCTTGAAAAAGATGTTCTGGTTGATGTAGTGGGAACTATATTCATTGCTCAGCTATAAGGCTGTTTGCTCTTTTTGTTTTCATTCCAAGGATGAGAGCATTCACGTGGTTTTTATCCCCTGCTGAAAGAGATTACACAAGTTTTTACACATTTGTGATTATTATATTTGTGCAGAAAAATCCTTTTGTGCAAATGAAATTTTCTCAACCAGTCAGTAAGTCATCTTGAAGTAACTGAACATATTTTTTCAGCAGGGTTTTTTGATAGGTTAACACATCTGTAACATTTTTTAAAAATCAGATAAAGTGCAATTATTTCTGTATCCCTCTGTTGGGGCTCTCTTTTATTTTAAATTATGGATTATCTTGTCAAGTATCAGCCCAGCCTTTGATTCAAACTACATTTGCATCAAAGCAGAAATACCTCACCTCAGCATCACAACCCTACTCACCTACCATCTCTACTACTGTACATTGGTGCACAAATTCTTTTTCTTTCTTCCTGGAATTTTATGCAGGCCCTATAGTCACATCCTGTCATTTTAAGATGTTTTTTTTAAAAAAGACAAATAATTTTTGGGTGCTTATTTACAAGGTTGTTGTAGCAATGCATCTTCTCTTGTAAAGCCACAAAAAATCTGACACATGATAACATGGTGTTGACACCTCCTCTTAAACATTCTGTACCTGCCAGTGTAAAAATGTGTGTATTTTGCATATTTATGGGGAAATCAGTACTCCTGGAGAATGCTGTCCAAAAATAAAGTGAAGTGGGAAAGAGGAGATATGAAGGGGAGGGTATTAAACTTGGCCAGAGTAGGAAAGTACTTTTCAACATTCTCTTCCTTGTGATTGTTGTACACTGCTCTGGAAGAAATTAATGTACCCTTGCTCCTCCATTGTATAATATTAGCTGTCCTGAAATATAAATGATTGACAGTGGCTTGATGTGCTTTCCTTCTTTACCATTATCCAGTCACTAATGACTGTTCTCTCAAAAGCATTTCTTTTGCTCATTTTGAATATGCAAATCAGATAAAGAGTAGTTACCAGAGCTTGGAAAAGTCACTTTGGGGACTAGAATTCCAAGAATCATTAGCTAGCATGAAGATTCAGGACATGGTCATTTGTGCATTTTTTAAATCTGGAATTCCAAAATCTGAAATATTCCAAAATTCAAAATGCTCTGTGTGGGTGACAAAAGACCTCATCACACTAGAGAATGAATCCACTTTAAATCGGGTTGCTGCCTCCTGCAGAATCCTGGGGTTTGTAGTTTAGGGAGAAGCCTTCAACAGTCTCAGTAAACTACAAACCCCAGAATTCTGCAGGAGGCAGAAACCAGATTTAAAGTGGATTCATTCTCAAGTGTGATGAAGTATTTAGACAGAGGAACCTTTGCTTTCTGTATTGTGTATAAAATTAACTTCAGACTATGTGTATATGAACTATACATGATTTCTGTGGTAGACTTGGATTCCATCTCCAAGATAGCTCATTATGTGTTTGCAAATATTCCAAAATCTAAAAAAGAAAATCTGAAATCTGAAAACGTCTGGTACCAGGCATTTTGAACAAGGGATACTCATCTTGTAATGTATTTATGTGTTGTCTGTTTCAGAGATAAATCATGGATCCCATGTCAGCAGGATGGTGGATCTACTCTAGGTTTTGAAATTGCTTGAAGGAACTAACTAATGTGCTTAATCTATTTGGAAGATCTCTCCTTTTGAGTCTGTTAACTAAAACATAGATTGGATTCACTGTTCTATTGACACATGGTTCGCAAGTTTTAAAAAATGAGTCATTTTGATGTTGGTCCAACCTTTGGCTAATAAACTCTTATCCATGATAGTTTGGAGAATGTTGTTAAGGAGTTTGGAATGCCTTTATTCTTCACTGTCTAATACAGGTCAGTGTCAAGGTGAATTATTCATAATTAAACTGCTTTCCCCCAAATCTTGCCAGATTTACCATCTGTCACAAAACAGAAGTGGTGAAGAACACTTTGAATCCTGTATGGCAGTCCTTTGCTATCCCTGTAAGAGCCCTGTGCAATGGAGACTATGACAGGTACAGACTCCGGAGTGTTAGACTCAGATTTAATAACTGGGTTTGCATGGTTATGGGAAGAGGGATGATGTGAAGATGATAGAGGTAATTAATGTTGTTTGTGATGTGGATCCAAGAAAACATCATATTGAAAATGTTTGAACAGAGCAACTTTGAATTATATATGGTCTTATCAAAGTACCTGCATAAGCCCTACTTCAGAGCAACTTTGAATTATGTATGGCCCTATCAAAGTATAACCCTCTCTTCCCAGCTCAAAAGATAAAGGAAAGCTAATATGTATGTATGGCAGATAATATCACCAACTCTGCTAATCAAAATTCCTGGTTGTTTGGCTTTGGATGCTGGCCATGCTGGCTGGGGATTATTGACACTATAAATCCAGCATGTCTCAAAGGTACCAAGCTGGAAATGGTATGCTCATAATCCTTGTGAGGTCATTTAATATGGCTACTATCACTCCAAGTGCTAGCCATGGGTAGAAACTATGTAGAAGGCACTTTTGGCCTGTAGGCTCATCTTGTGGTCTCTGGAAGCACATGATTGTCCATGGGTGAAAACAGGATGCTAGACTGTTGAGTCTTTGTTCAGATAAACCAGAACTAACAAACCATAGAAATGTAAGTCAGTGCTCCCAATCTCCATTACCTTTGCTGCCGAGGCCAATTAAGTTATTTCCTATCCAAGTATCTCATGTATTGTAGAAGTTGAACAAATAGGAAGAAGTTTAAATTTACTGATTCAATAAGGCTGCCTCCAAACCATAACAGTGAAATAACTTGTTATGAATAATGAGTTAATTATAATTACTTTCTTGTAAGATATAAGTACAATGCACTACAGTTGTAGCTTAACTTCATTCAACTTGACTTCACCTGGTCCAACTGCTGACTCGCGCTGCATAGTATGCTGCTGTCTTGCACCCAAATGTTCCACTTAGGCCCTGCAACCATTTCATCTAAACCTCCCATCCTGCCAACCATTCCCCTGTCATGGAAATCTATATGTGCCATGAGGCCCATTGTGCACCCCATAAGTTAGCTGGCTGCTTCTGAGTGTTCTGTTGGAGGGTATTGTTGGTGTGGGAAGTAAGATTCAGTAGTCAACTCATTTATCCTCTACACATAAAATGAAGACATGTGGCATCTTGATCTTTGCCTTCGGAAACCAATTGCTTTGGCAGGCTAGCAGGATAGTTCAGAAAGGTCTGTTAGACCAGGATCTTAACTTAGCAAGGGGTTCTTAGATCTAGGAGGGCAAAAGCTGGGAGAAGGGGGTGTTGTTTTAAACATAAATCACAGACTTTTCCATAGCCAGTGAACTTGGTGCTCTGTCCTGTAGACTTTGAAATACAGTGACACCAACAATAACCTAACTGGGAACTTCAAAGCAAATCTGAAATGCTGAAGCTCCAACCTTTTCTAAATAAAATAGCTTTTCTTCTGTCAGTGTTATTGAAGAGACAGAAATGGAGGTGGCGAAGGGGAGAACAGCCTCCCCTTGGGAAGGCATGCTGCTTTCAGATGATGGAACAGAAATGTACTTAAGGGGTGATTGATGGATGGAAATGAATCCAAAGGTCTGATTGGAGAAGCCCCTGGAGATGGATTATCTGTTATATTCACAAAAGCTACTACCACTCCTCTGCCTAAATCCTTAGAAAAGGTCAGTTGCCATTCCGGAGAGATAGTCTTGCTGGTGGCGGATTGACAGTCATGTTAATCAAAGTAATAAGAGCACCTCATACACAGGAATGCCAATTATAGGAAAAATGATTGAGCCCATTATCCTGTGTAATATACTCTTCTCTCAGCTTGATGTCATCATGTAAAACACAATGCAATCCACTCTCTGCATCTGTATGAGCTTACACTTATAGGCATGAGAAATGTTCTTTACTCATAGCTTTCACCCATGGGGATTCTACAATATTTACTGCTAAGGGACAGCTCCTCAGCACATATGCACAACTGTTCTTCATTTCACTTGTTCCTGAGGATTAAAGGCATTGTGCACGACCCACTGTAAACTAAAAGAGGAAAAATAAAAGCATCCTTCACTGTCTCGCCACCCCTGGCAAGAAAGTGTTATTTCTTGGAACAAGTTTGGGGAATTTATGGTTGTTGTTGAACTACATAGTCCATCATTTCCATAACTGGGTATAAAGACTGAGGCTGATGAGAGTTGCAGTCAAACCATATCTGAAGAATCACACACTACTTCTCTCTTGTTCAAGAGTAAAAGGAGAAATGGCAGAAAAAAAGCAAAAGTAAGAACTACCCACTTTAGGTCACGAAGAATCGGAAGCAACTGAACAAATAAACAACAAAGCCCATTTTAGCAAATAAACAATCAAAGCCCAGCTAAGGCATTTGGGCACTGAATCCTAACACACTGTACTAGGATTCAAGAGACTTGACCCTCATGCATTTTGTTTCCTGATTAAGCATTTTGTGAACACTATAAATCATATTGGCCAATGTCCTAGATAGTATGCATGAAGTGTGCCTGCCACTGCTGCCACCACTTTTCCAACCATTAAACAACCAAAGAAGAAAGGGAGGTGATTGGACTGTCTTCCTCTAGTCCCTATATTGGGTGAAAAATGAGATGTAAATTAATTAATTAAATAAATAAATAAAAATCTCCATCCCCTTGCAGTTTCTGAGAAATAAGTGGAAGTACATCTGTTCAGGTTGTGCCCTGTCAGGGTGTGAAACGGAAATGCCTTTCCTTCAGTCAAGATGAGTTTTTGATTCACCAAGTATGGCTTTATATTGTCGAAGGCTTTCATGGCTGGAATCACTAGGTTCTTGTGGGTTTTTTCGGGCTATAGAGCCATGTTCTAGAGGCATTTCTCCTGACGTTTCGCCTGCATCTATGGCAAGCATCCTCAGAGGTAGTGAGGTCTGTTGGAATTAGGACAATGGGTTTATATATCTGTGGAATGGCTGGGGTGGGGCAAGGAGCTTTTCCCTGCTGCAGTTAGGTGTGAATGTTTCAGCTGATCACCTTCATTAGCATTTGAAGGCCTGCCTGAGCCTATGGCTTTATACTTTTTCCAACAGGGCAGACATTCTTCTGCCTTCTTGGATCCACTACTACAGTGGGTGCTTCTCCCATGGCTGATCCAAGTTCAATGAGAGTTCTGCTAGTACTGGGTTATAGATCAGTAATGGCAGAGCTCCCATTTAGCTCACAGCAGGAGCTGAAGCCACAGCAGTAAAATCCAGAGTGAATTCACTTCTCCGATGGTGGTGAGTCCATTAACCACCTCCTTATAATACAGGAACTTTTCCATGGTCTGCCAAAAGAGGCTTCCCATTTCATCTCAAGGGTTCCATCAAAATATGTAACTGAAAATTTTCTTCCAGTGGCATCAGTATTTTGCCAGCCCTAAGACTGTTACTGCATAATTACATAACAGTATTACAAGAGCTTTATTTACTATGATTATCTTATTAATCCTCAAAGCAGCTACATGAATTAAGGAGCTTATCACACTACACTGTGATACCACAATTGTATTGCACTTGTCCAATCTTTGCCTGGAGCTTATTGCATAGTGCTGTACTGCTGCTGGGTTGTTTGGATTCTTTTTTCCCTTTGAAGTAATTAGTTCATGATCGTCTGTGGTTTAGTTACCACATTGGATGTGAATATCTCTTTCTGTTTTGTCGTGGGAGCATAGTAGGCACAGTATAGATGTGGTGACATTGCTCTTTCCTTGAGTATTCTCCAGGAATCTCCAGACAGGAAACCCCAGACTACTTCTGCTGGTGGCATAGGAAGAACCCCAGGATTCCCAAAAATACAGAAGAAAACTGCTGTATATACTCCATTCCCTGGCATATTTTAAAATCCATTCTTTAAAAAATAAATAAATAAGAGGACCATGCTAATTTTGCTATTCAAATTTGCTATTCAAATGCAACCCCGCTAAGTATTAATACCCACAGGAACCACAAAGTTCAGAAAAGGTTTGAAAAGTAAATAGAGAGAGAGAATATATACATATATATACATAGTACACACACACATTTAAAGGGTAACATACAGAAACAGAACCTGGTAAATGTTGATTAATGAGGAGAAGCATAGGTAAAATGGTGAAAGCAACATATTGTGTGTTCACAGTCCCAGCCTGGGAAGGGACTGGGGATGGTTCCATAATAGCATCATTAAATAATTACGCAATTGCACAATATGGCTTCCCAGTTTTACACACCAGTGAAGGAACAGGAAGTGGAACAAACAAGATGATATAAATAATGTTATGTTTCTAATGGGAGAAAGCAAACATGGGAACTAAAACCACTAAAGCTGAAATGCAGTGCAATAGAATGCATTGTTATTCTACTACTTTAATGAATATAGGAGAAGTAGTTTTCAAATGAAAACACCTAAAGCAACTGACTATGATAATGTTCTAAGTCACTGTAGCCCTATAATTTATTTATTATTTATTTATTTAGAACTTTTGTATACCGGTCTTTTCACCCCCGCGGAGGGACTCAGGCCAGTTTCCAACAATAATATCACAAGCAATCATTTAAAAACATCACATTCCGTAATACACTAACACATTAAAATACCAAAAATACAATCATATAATTACAATGGCCAAGTCGTCACAAGAAAATTGTTGTTCATCACCATCCACCCATATAGCCACGAGTTATTGACTCACTCGTCAAATGCCAGTTTCCAGAGCCAGGTTTTCATCTGTTTTCTAAAAGTCAGGAGAGAAGGGGCAGTTTTAATCTTCAGTGGGAGGGAGTTCCAGAGCCGAGGGGCCACCACCGAGAACACAGAGAGTGAAGATAATTCAGAAATCTGAGCCCAGCTTTCATATTGGAAAACCAAATACTTATTCCATTCATGAACATAAATTATGCTGTTATTTCTTTAAAATGAAATACCAGACAGAGGGTGACTAGGGTGAATATAATTATCTCTAGGAATATTGTGCATGGAGAAGGGAAGGAATGGAAGCATTT